TTCGAGCGCCTGGAAAATGACTTCCCAACGCCGACTTTCCCATGCTAAGGGCCTCGCCCGACTGTTGAAACGCTGGGGGGCCCAGCCGAAGTTTTTGACGAACGCAGCGCCGTCTTCCACCAGCTGCTGCTCCCCGAGTGCGTTGCGGAACACGGTGGAGGTAGTCAGGAACTTGGCCAGACTTGGCGGCTTCTTACCCGTTACCAGCAGCTCGTCCGTGGTCGTTATTTCGCTGTCTCCTCTCATCGAATTGGCCAGAACCTTCTGGGACGAGCGAGACTCGTCCCACGCGTGAAACGCCAGCCCAGGGAACGTAGCTGTTGCAGCCAGGGGTGCACTTAGATCCGCCCCATCGCTGCACCATGCCCGAGTCTCCTGTCGCGCGTGCTTGTGCAAGTCCCCGTCCAGCTCCCCGCCTGCCGTCTGGCGCGCGCGACGGACGCGCGCCTCCAGCATGGAAGCCTTGCCGTCGCAGTCCATGCCCCGCGGGAACTCCCGCATCCCGATCACCCGATCCACGATCCAGGGCCCTCTGTGGCCCAGCTGTTCCAGCCAGCCTGCCTTGAGACCGTAGCTTGGGAGGAAGTCCAAAGCCTTCGGGATCGACCACAGCGCGGTGCCAATTTCGACCTGGTACGTGCGGTCGAGGCCGCCCGCAGCCAAACGAAAAACAGCACCATGTTTGAGGATCCTCTGCGTGATGATCTTCTCGTGCTGAGCCATGGTGGTCACCAGCCTTCGGCGCTGCTGACTAGACTCCAAAACTTGGCGGTCGCCCCCAACGAACGCATCCCGCCACACGTCGAAACTTCTGAAGGAACTGGACGTCTCCAACATTGCACGGGTGGCGACCACTGCGCGGCAACCAGGGCGCTGGTCGGCGGCGCGGACGACGACGGGCGCAGGCGCCGCGGCTGTTGCAGCTGCTGCAGCTGATGCAGCCGTTGTGGGGAACACAGACACGGGGAGACCCTGGTGCGCACCCTCCGCTAGAATCCGCTCTTTCCACGCCGCTTCTGCTGCCTGGTGCTCCTCGCACTGTGCATGGCGCACGAGGTTTTCCTTGCATTGGAAACTCCCGGACCCCTGGCCTAGGGTGGATATGCAATGAGCGCCCTTGAACGCCGAGCAGAACAAGCAGACTGCAAATCTACCACCTACGCAGCCTATCCAAGTTTCACTCTTCAGTGTTACTGGATTCGTCGCAGACATCGAGGCGCTCCACTTCTCCTTGTTCTTCCAAAATTTGCAAGCGCCGCAGGTGGAGACGTGCTCTGGGTAGTCGTGGCTGGCGACGTGCTCCTCCAGGGTCATGGACAACGAAGGCTGGAACTTCTCGACTACTTTGCTCGGGGCGGCCTTCGCCTTCGCTGTTGCAGCCGCGGCTGCCTCGCGGCTGGAGCCGCTGTCCTCTTCGGAGCCGCTGTCGGAACCGCTGTTGGAGCCGCTGTCCTCTTCGGAGCCCGCTGCGTCGGCAACTCCGTCGGAGCCGTCGGCGCCGGACCCTACGTCAGCATCGGCGTCCGAGCTGTTGCAGCTGCCACGGCTTGGCGAAGCTGCCCTCGACGAGGCCGCCGAGGCCGCGCGGCTCGACGGGGACGCTCTCGACGAGGCCGCACGGCTCGAGGATGCCGCTCTCGAAGAAACCGCCGAGGCCGCTGTCGAAGAAGCCGCCGAGGGCGCTCTCGAAGAAGCAGGGCTCGGGGAAACCAAAGGAGAGGACGAGGCCGCAGGGCTCGGGGAGGCCGCAGGGCCCGGGGAAACCGAAGGAGGGCTCGGGGAAACCGCAGGAGCGGACGACGACATTACCTTGAGCCAAGTCCTACGGACCACAATGGTGACGATGGTGATGGTGATGGCGATGCTGATGGTATGGATGGTGATGATGATGATGATGATGATGGTGATGGTGATGATGGTATGGTGAGGGCGGTTGTGATGGTTATGATGGTGATGGTGATGATGGTGATTCTGGATGTGATGAACACCACCATCATCACAATCACCATCGCCACCACCATCATCACTACGATTTGATAACCACCAGCATTACAATCGTCGTCGGCATCAAGACACTAAAACACTCAACCAACTCAACCTAAACCCGCCCTAAAGACAGCCAGGTTAGCAACACGGCTGGGAGCGGAAACGCAATACGTCGACGAGCAGTACGACCGTGAACAATCGTACGAGTGCTGACAACACGACAAAAACGAGAACCACCACGGCGTCCAGGAACACTTTGGTCTGACCAGTACATGTCGATCCAGCAGTACGCTGTTGAACAGTACGAATGCGAGCAACAACACGAGTGCTATTACCACGACTGCAGTACGTCAATGAATGACCAGTACGAGTGCGAGAAAACAAGCACGACTGTGACTATAGTGCGTCGGTGAGCAAGCGTGATCATCAGCACGAATATTACCAGCTTGACTGGGGCCTGCAGCAAACCAATGAACTATATGATCACGAGTAGCAACCTCGAATAACAGTTACGCCGGTAAGGAGACCGAGTTCGCGCAGCAACTCGAATTATCGAACCACGTCTGGGACACGCAGTGCGTCGGTGAGCAAGTACGAGAGCAACACAAACGATACCAACATGATTAGGCTTTGCAATCTGTCGATGAAAAATACGGGTGCGGACAACAACATGAGTGTGACTGGCACCCTGGCAGTACTTCGCTAAGCAATACAAATGCGAACAACAGAGCGGGTATAGCCATCACCCTGTCATGGGAAGGCCCTCCGTTGGGTCTGGAGGGGTGGGGTGCGAGCCATTAGAGCGTCCAGGATGGCCCAATATTTTTCAATGTGGAATCTGATAGCCTAAGATGGCACAAGCTAGCTCAGGATGGCGAAGTATAGCTATCGGCGTGCTTCCAAGATGCCCCAGCACGGCTCCAAGTGGGCACAGAGCTTCGCAACGACAGCCCGAAGAAGCCAGAACCCATAATAAGTCGGACCCCTACTGTGTATGATTTGCCGGTTCAATCCTTTTCGCTTCCGATCGCCTTCTGAGGCCTGAAAACGGCACCCACATCGCCCAAGAGGACCCAACGAGACACTCAAAAAGGCTGCAATATGGCCCAATGATCGCCCAATAACCCCCCAAGAGGGCCCACAAGGTGTTGTTGATCACCCTTCTGTTTTAATGAAGTTTGTTTGCTCAGCGGCACCATTGGGAGGCGTTTAGGCCAAGATAGGTTCAATATGGCCCCATGTATTCCAAAATGGCACAAGAGAACCCCAAGAGTTCTGCTTGAATTTAGTCTCAGACATGCCTCGAATAGTCCCCAATGCAGCCACGATGCAGCTCCGATTGGCCTCGGAGCCTCCCAAGGTCGCCCTCGACAAGTCAATATCACTCGACATCCAAACGTGATTATATGATCTGTCCAGTCTGATGCTTCCGCTCCTGTTGGACCTCTGAGGCATCAAGATGGCTCCAAGACCGCCCAAGAGAGCCCCAGGAGGAATCCACAGAGGCTACAAGACGGCCCCAACCGACAGCGTCCCAAGAGGGCTCCAAGAGTGCACCAAGAGGTGATGCTCAAGGCCCCGCCGGGGCGGGTCAAAAGAGGGGCTCCCCTACTTTCACGGATGTCCTCCGAGGCGATCCTAAGGAGGTCCCCGCTGCCTACAGGAGAGCACACGACGAGCCAGAGGGCCGCAAAGGCATCCGCCCCAAGATGTCCCAAATAATCAGCCAGGAGGCTCCCATATCGCTGTGGCTGACCTCTGGGCCCCCTCGGGCCGATCAAGGACTTCGGCTTGACGGCTGCCCCCCCCTTCCTTCAGGCGCGTGCCCCTGCGCTTCCTTCGCTCGAGGCAGCTCGCCCGGGCATCGTTTCTGCATGGGCGGGGGCACTTTTTTTGGTCGCGGCCGCAGGCGAGAGCGCAAGCGGCGAGTCGTAAGTCCGGGGCGCGGGCCTAATTACTAATGGACAACAGGAGCAAACTAGAGCCGCGCACCGAAACCGATGGTTGGGGGCACTCGACAAGCATCAACACAGCCTGGGCCTCTGGCCCTGGTGCTGGGAACCTGTGGGCTGGGGGAGCTCTGGGCCACCTGGGGAGGAGGAGGAGGAGGAGGAGGAGGAGGAGGAGGAGGAGGAGGAGGAGGAGGAGGAGGAGGCGTGGGGGGGGACCCTCGAGCCGCGCGGGAGGAGGTGGGGCGGGGAGGCATCACTCCGCCCCCTGTGCCCCGAGGGCTCCTCCTCCTCCTCCTCCTTCCCTCCGTCCTCCTCCTCCTCCTCCTCCTCCTCTTCCTCCCTCTGAGCACACCGTGGCGCTCGACAGGAGGGCAACATAGCCAACCATGGGTCCTCCATCCTGCGCACGGTGTGAGAGCGACTCTCCTGGCACTGATTCGCTCTTCGCTTCACCCGCCCCACGCCAGCCCCCACTCTCCCCGGCCTCCTTCCCGAGCGCAGTGGCGGATATGTGCGCCAGCACAGCTGGATTGACTCGCCTGTAAATCTACCCTCAGCGCCAACCGCTGGAAAAAGTCCTGGCTAGCAGAAGCTTAACCAGTCCCAGCAGGGCCGTTGTTAGGCTCTGGCGCATCACGACGAAAACCGAACACCCCTCGTGTAGACTCTACACGTCGCAAGCTGTGCAAAAAAAAAATGCTGAGCGCGTCCCAGCAGAGCACGGAACACTGACCATTTGACACACAAAGAGCCATACCATTGCGCAGACTTGCCCAGGTGCCATCGAGGCCAGCTCGCTGTCTCAACTAAAGCCCTGGATGCCAGGCCAAGAGACGGAAGGAGAGGACGAGGGAAGAGGGCGAGGAGGAAGACCAATCAGGCGCCGCCCGTTTGCTGGTTGCCCTGCTCGCCAATTACGGATGGAGGAACACCTGCAACTGTCTGCTGGCTGCTGCCCTGATCACCGAACTTGTTGTAGCCCGTGCGTTTGCCGGCGAAGTAGCAAACCGTGCCGATCACAACGACAAGGAAGAGACAGATGCAGGTGCCTAGGACAATGAGTTACGTGGTGTCCTCCTCAACGGGGAAGCGAGCACGCGGGAGAGAAACAACCAGAGTACTGGCACGCCCGAAATGAGTACTTAACAAATTGGCGCGATGCCAAGCAGCAATTGAAGTCCAACGCCTGCAACTGCCGCTGTTGGGCAAGCGAATCTGTCTCGAATGGACAGCGCCCGCCACGACACCGACAATGAATTCTGTTCGAAATTGAGAAGAACTGCTGCCCGTCGCTGTCTCCATTCATTCCGGATCCGTTTCGATCGTGCCGGCTGGAGGACGAGGATCCATGACCGAAGACGCTTCTTCACGTCGCGGCGGGCTCGCGGAGGCGGAGAAGCAAGGGGTGGCGGAGGACGCGGAGGACGAGCAGGCGGAGGGGGGAGATGTGCTGAGGGGCCGATCCTCCTCGTCCGCAGCCATCACGTCGGGGCAGTTCAGCAGCATCGCCTTCTCGATGTCGTAGTCCCAACGCGGCGTCAGGTCGATCTCGCAGTAGTGCGCGTCAGAGGGGAAGACCGAATCTGCGACGGCCGCCTGGCCGTAGAGCTCCCCTGAGACGATGGCCGCTTTGTCGATCGCGTGCATGATAACCTTCCGCACGTTGATGTCGTCGGTGGGGGCCTTCGCCGCGTTCATCACCACCATCTGGTTGTACAAATTCGGGCCATGGACGGTCTTGTGCGTCGTGTAGTGGCTGGACATGAACTCGAGCACCTGCTGGGGAAGGAGCACCTTGTCGCCCACGGCAACGTCCAGCTCACCATTGAGCAGCGCCGCCTTCACGTCGTCAGTGGACTCGTAATGGATCACGCGCACGGCCTCGACGTTCCCGCGCTCGCCCCACCAGTATGGATTCCTGGTGAAGAGAACCTCCGAGGTCGAGCCGTCGCTGTTAACGGTGGTGCTGTCGTAAATCCAAGGGCCCGTACCATGCAAGCTGCGTGTGCCTGCGCAAATGACCGAATCTGAACCAGAGGCGATCGGAACCGTGTTGCCATCCTCGTCCAATGTCCACCTCGAGGGGCACGAATTCTCCGTGGCCGGGTCTGTAGCTGGGCCGTTGATGAAACTCTCTGGGCACAGCATGCGCAGAGGGCGGATGAAGGAGAGCTCCTGCAAGAACGGGTAGTATGGCGCGTCCAGGGTGACGACGAAGACCTCTCCGTCGCACGACCAGCCAGTCGTGTGAAGTGGCAGGTGGTACCAGCCGTGCCAGTCCGCCGTTGCCAGCGGCGGTTGCAGGACGTGGTCGAAGTTCATCTTGGCAGCCGCGCAATTCCAGTCAGTGCCGTCGTGAAACTTGACGCCGGTTCTGAGCGTAAATCGGTACTCCTCGCCGCCATCCGTCGTGTCCGCGACTTCCCAACTCGTGGCCAGGGCTGGCACGATCTCCCCGTTCTCGCCGAAGTGCACCAAGCTCTCGTAGATCCAATTGTTGATGAAGAACTCGTTGGGCCGGTAGCTGTGCGGGTCCATGTCTCCTGTAGCCTGAAAGAGCCCTGTCTGCGCCGCGGGTGCAACTGTGATGTTGACCGAGCCAGAATCGACGATGAAATTGTGTATCGGGTAGTCGTACTGCTGGTAGCCAGAAGTGTAGCCCTGGAGGCGGCGACTGTAGACCGCTGGGACGCGGCGAGACCACATAGGATTGTGGATGGCCTGGTTGTGCATCTCCTGCAGAATGTGCGTCCACTTCGCCTGCCGCTCGGTGGGGTCCTCCACAGACAGCACCTCGGTCACGAGCTCTCGTATCGTGTCCCTCGTCATCGGCGGTTCCATCTGCGCCATCGCGGCATAGTGGGCCTCGTCGGGAACGGACCAGCTGGTGGCGAAAGAGTGCGGGTCATAGGGAGGGCCCCAAGATTCCGTGAAGCACAGATTGAAATCTCCCGCCTGCATCGCCGTGTTAAACTCCTCCTTCGTTTCCACGAAGACGGTGTTCACTGTGATGCCCACCTGGGCGAGGTCACGCACGATGTCGTCCTCGACCTGGGCCATGAGCGAATCGCCCTCCAGGACGATGAAGTCCACCGTGTGCGGCACGCAGTCGCCCGCGCGGACCTTCGGCAGCACGCTGGCCGTCAGTGCGACAAGCACCTGCAGAAGTCGGCACGTGAGAGGGGGGCATTGAGCATCGTTTGACCGATCCCTTATCCTCACTGGCATGGCCCCACTGGCCGACTTGCCGACCTAGGTGTGGCTATATGCCGCATGTTCCTTCGAGATTCGCGGGGACTATCCCAACCTACAAGGTTGGACTGCTTGGGCTACGATACAATGACCCGGTGGGGAGGGCGATAGGTTGAACTCTGCTGGAGGCATGGGAGGTGGAGGGGGAATATGACGCAAGATCAACCAAAACCGAATCAGGAAACCAGACCGACCCGGAATGTGTGACGGATCGGGCCGCATCGGCACGGGGCAAGATCAGTCAGCATCGAATCGGTGCATCGGATCGAATCGGAACGTGCATCTAGGGCTCCCAACTTCGCGCTTCGCGCTGCGCGAAGCGCGAATAACTTCGCGCTCTCGCGCCGCCCCCCCAAGGGGGAGAAGAGGAGGACGAGGAGGAGGAGGAGGAGAAGGAACGAGGACCGCGAAGCGCGAAGCGCGAATAACTTCGCGCCCTCGAGGGCGCCCTTGCGAATCGGAACGCGCATCGACTCGGACCGCATCCGCTCGAGTCGGAATCGAATCGAGAATCGGATCGGCGGCGCCGTGAGCTGCAGAACAGAGGCGTCATGCAAGCATCGGGCCGCATCGGATCGCCCGAACATCCAAAGGAAGGGGCCCAAGGACACACAAATAAATACACACAAATAAAAACATCCCCCATATTTTCCTGTATTTTCTGGGTTTCTGTCTCCCCGCCCACTTCCCGTAGCTTCCCATATTTTCTGGGGAGTCGACGATTAATCGTGTCTGTGTGTTTTTCCCTCCTGACGGGGTCGGATCAGATCGGCCGCGCCAGAGTGCACAACGGGAGCCAACAACCCTCGAGCCGCAGGGGGATCGCTGGAATACCAGAACCGGCTTGGATCGAGCCAGCGAGAACCGATACTCCAGATTTCGTAATAAAAGGGAGGGGGTCTGGACCCTCCAAGACAAGCCATTTCAGACCTCCCCCGTGGGAGAACCCTCCAAACCATCGTCCCCAGACTCCCCAGGCCCTCCAAGATAGCCTGGAAGAGACCCCCCCAACGAGACCCCCCTCCCTTTGTCACGAAATCTGGAGTATCGAACACGACTGGTCGGATCGAAGCGGGCCCCGAGGGGCAGGGGGGGATACCAGCGTGCTGAGCACCTGCAGGGACATGGCATGGCTGAGTTCGGGTGCCGCCTCTGCCGCAGGTCCCCGACGTAACAGGGGACACGTCGACCCCCACCCCCGACTTTCGCCGGCCTGCAAAACAGACCAGGGGCTGGGGGGCACAACCCGGGGACACGTGCTGGGGGGCGCGCCCATCCTCGATAGGGGTGCGTCCGAATAGGCCCCTGAGGGTGCGTCCTCGGGTTTCCCGATTCTTTTCTGGCCAGCTTGAGTTCTCGGAGGGAAGGAAAGTCGGGGGTTGGGGGCGAGGGATCGCCTGCGACGACGAGCCCCGAGATCCAGAACCCCTGAGCGAAGGAGGCTTGAGCCGAAGGTGCACGAGCACCAGCGGCTGCGGCGGCGGCCCCAGGAGGTCCGCACCAGGCTGCTCGAACACGCCCAGGAGCCTCTCCAAAACCCGCCGAAGCCACCTCCCTCGTCGATGCTTGACCTGACCCCCCGTTCCAGCAGGGAGCTCCCTGGAGGCCGAAGGAACGAAACCAAACGGTCGAAAACAACAGCACGCATCAAGGCTTGCTCCTATTTGACCCTGGACATGCACCCCCAATCAGAAAGCGCGCCGAGAACAAGTAGCCAAGCGAAAGACCCAACCAAATGCTGCTGTGAATACCGCAGTCGTGAGTATCGTCTTCGGTGGGGCACCTCGTGGGGGCACGAAACGCGTGAGGGGCGCGCCAAGGCGGGACGGCGGCGGCACGCGGGCGCTGCCAGTCCTCCTGCCGATGCGCCGTCTAGGCGCGGCTCTGTGTGTGTGTGTGTGTGTCCATATGGGGGCTAGGCTAGGGCTCCCAACTTCGCGCTTCGCGCTGCGCGAAGCGCGAAGCGCGAATAACTTCGCGCTCTCGCGCCGCCCTCCCAAAGGGAGAATAGGAGGACGAGGAGGAGGGGGAGAAGGAACGAGGACCGCGAAGCGCGAAGCGCGAATAACTTCGCGCCCTCGTGGGAGCCCTTGACATGGGTGCGGTGGGCGCATGCTGGCGCTGCCTTTTGCGCATTCGGTGGGGCTCCCTCTGGGGCCACGAAACTTGTGAGGGGTGTGGCGCAATGGGTGCGACGGGCGCATGCGGGTCCGCCGAAGGCCCACATGCCAGCGCTCGCATGCGCCCACCGCAGCCATGTCTGCACACTTGTTACACGCTTCGTGGCCCACTAAAGAGATCCACCGAAGGCCATACCCACAACGGTGATACTCATTACTGCATATGGTTGGGCTCTTCGCCAAGACCATTCCATAACGTCGATCCTCAAAAGCCTGGACCCACTCCCCGGGACCGGTTCTTCGTCCTGGGTCGTTTCTGTTCCAACCATCCTGTGGTGTTGGGTCCTCGTTTCGACGAGACAGCGCCCAGCGTCCCTCCTCTCCTCTCCTCCTCCTTCTGATCCCGCTCCTCCCTCCTCCCATCCCCGCCTCTGCCTTCCACACAAACCAACCATTTCGGCACACCCTCACACATTTCGGTGCTCCATAGGGCACTCCACCGAAGGCCACAGTTGCTGCGCGCTCACATGGCACCACCACCGCACCCGTTTCCGCATTCCCCCCACACGTTGCGTGGCCCCGCAGGGAGCTCCACACGAGGTCCAGATGTCTCCGCTCATATGGCCACCGCCTCACCCGCTTCGGCACACCCCTCACACGTTTCGTGGCCCCGCGGGGAGCTCCACCGAGGGCCCCATTGGCTGCGCTCGCCTGGCACCACCGCACCCGTTTCGGCGCACCCCTCGCACGTTTCGTGGCCCCATATGGAGCTCCCCCGAGGGCCTGGTGGCTACGCTCGCATGGCGCCACCGCGGTCAATTCGGCACAGCCTTCACACTGCTCGCGGCCACATGGGAGCTCCACCGAGGGCCCCAATGGCTGCGCTCGAATGGCACCACCGTGCCCGTACCGGCATACCCCTTCCACTTTTACGCCGAACGGTTGCAACGCCCACACGGCACCACCGCGCCCAAGTCGGCGCAGCCCTCGCATTCTTCGTGGCCCCATAGGCAGCGCTCGCATGGCACCACTGCGCCCGTTTCGGCACACCCCTGACACGTTTCGTGGCCTCGTAGGGAGCTTCACCGAACGCGGTCGGCACCCACAACGCGGTACTCACACTTGCACATGGTTGGGTCATTCGCCCCGACGATTGACGGTCCCGGGGCTCAGAGAGGGCCCCCCGAGGCCGAAAGCAGCGACAAGCTCCCGTCGTGCTTCTTGCATGCCCCGAGGGGGTCTGAGTCTCGGTCACCTTGGAAGCCAGAGTATTACCACCATCACCGCGTATTACCACCGTCACCGAGATCGGGATCACCGAGCTCGCCTCCTGGCGCCGGGAGGCGCCCATGTATCAGGGAATGGGCCCGGCGGCGGGGCCGAACCCAGCTGCATGCAGCAGATTTCCCCCCCCCCCCCCCCTCTCTCCCTACCCCCCCCCTCTCGTCCGGCCCGACTCCAGGCCTGCGACCCCCCCCCCCTTTCGTTCGGCCCGACCCCCCCTCTCCCTATCCCCCCCCTCTCGTTCGGCCCGACCCCAGGCCTGCGTAAACCCCCCCCTCTCCCTGTCCCCCCCCTCTCGTCCGGCCCGACCCAGGCCTGCGAGACCCCCCCCCCCCCCCCCCCCCCCGCGTCGTGGCCCCGTGCCGGCCGCCCCGCCGCCCTCCGGCCGCGGCCCCCCCTGGCGCAGCACCGAGGCGGCGGGCCGTGCATGAGGCGCTGCGCACCTCGGGCGGCCGGCGGCGCGCGCGCGGCCGGAGCTGCCAGCCCCCGCCCGTCGAGCGGCGCGCACCAATGCTTACCTACCAGACCACCCCAGCCCGACCCGAAGACCCGAGTTTTGGGTTGGGGGGGGTACGGGCTCCAGCTCACTCGTCGGTCGGAAGAAGCAGGCAGAAGCATGAAGTAGGACGGCGGATGAAGGAGATTGGGCCCAGGTCCTCCCAGAGAAGAAGGAAACACAGCAAAAACATGCCGATTCTGGAAGCAGGAAGGCGCTTGAAATAGATTGGGATCAGGGAGTCCAAATACACCTACTTTCAACGACCGGAATGTACCTACCAGACCACCACAGCCCAACCCGAAGACTCGAATTTCGGGTTGGGGGGGTACACGTTCCGTGTATGTTTTTTCGGATGTTCCACGACCCCCCCCACACTGGAAATGGAGGGCAAATCGAGGCCTTCGGGTTGGGTGGGGTGGTTTGGTGGGTGGTGAACGAATGGGGGGGAACCGCCGATGTGCGGCTGCCGCGATCGCAACGGCGAGCGCCCAAGCCGACCCGGAATTTTGGTCGGATATCACGCAACGATGCGCCGTGCACTATGGTCATGCTCCTGTTCCCCCTGAACGGTGCGAGCAAGCGGGTGGAGGGAGGGGGAAAGGGCTCCTTAGAAGGAGGCTGCCTCTTAGAGGGCGCTGGCCTAACAGAGAAAGGTAAGGCCCGCACCTTCTGAGAAGCAAGGGTGCTTCTAAGAAGCCCTCCCCCCACCTCGCCTCCGCCTCCGCGCGTGGCTGACGTTGGTCGACGATGCTGTCAGGACGCGCGTCGGCGGCAACCAGCCGACGCGCCCAGGGGGGATGTTTTTTCCCCGCAAAGAAAATCCACTGCCCCTCGAGGAGGCTTTCTTGAACCCCGCGCTCGATACGAAATTGCCCGGAAACGTATCGCCCATAGACCGGCACGCC